GATTTCCGGGGAGTAATCCAAGAACATAACAGCAACCCGGATAAGGTCGAGAAGTGACAGCCGAACCCATCGGGTTGTGAGGCCATCATCGACGGCTGACATTGACCCTGTCTTGCTAGCCAGGGCAATAACGGTGTTAAATGCCGATTCTTTGAGGGCATCAGATGTGAGAATTGGAATAGCATCCTCAGCCGTGCATTGTGGAGTTCTGGCGCAGTCAAGCAATTCTTCATAGTATGACTGTTCAGATGCTCGAGATAACCCTGCATTCTGTGTTTGCTCATTGTAGGAGATAGCCGAATGTTGGCTCACAGCACGATCTCGGGCGTTTCTTGTGTGTTCGGCCACTTCTTGAATGCTATACAAGATCAGACCCCATGAAAAGGCCGCCGGATTCGCGGTGTTCAAATCACCGCATGCAGTAAGGAAGATCTCATTGATTTCAGAGATTTTCTCCTTGCACCAGAAGTAAGGCTGAGGCGAGGATTGGATGCTTGTATGGTTCTGAATAGTAGAGATGGCGAGAGAGGGTTTTAAAAACGATAATGTGGTAAGCGACACGAAAGCTTGAAGTGGCAACAACACTTCCACAGGTTGCTGACAAGGCTATAAAAAAAGTTAACATCTCGAGAGGTCAAAATGGGCCACTGGCCGCTTACCACTTGAATTGTCTCTAAGAAGCTATAATCAGCCATGAGCCGGAGCCAGGACAATAGGAGGTCTGCAGTGGGAAATTCCTCCGAAGCTTGAAGCTGGTGGAACATGATTTGCACGATATGAACGATCTCCTCAACAAGGCTTGTTCTCCAGATGTTCTCCACTTCCTCGCTGCTTTCTGCGGCACCGAGCCAGCCACCGTCTCCTTCCAAGATTTTTAACCGACTGCGTATCGAGTTGATGCATTCTTGAAGAAATTGGGTCGATCCATCAGCAGTCGACTTGCTTTGGAAAATTATGCTCCCTACTTTCCGCAAAGCTAGTTTGCGATCGGAACTGGCGGGGGCGGTCGAGTCAGCTGGAATACCATCGTGTAGTGACAAAGCTAGCAGCTTGCGAAGTGTCTTCACTACATGGGTTGCCTCGGAGAGATACACCTCGCGGATTCGTAGACGTCTCGTCTCCTCTTTTTCGAATGACTGATCACCATCGCTTCTGGCTGTCTGGTTCAATAGGTTGGCGAAGTTCGGACCGGCTAGGGAGCCTCGAAGATTCTCGGTCCCAGCCGCGCTCTGTAGACTGGTCGCTTCCTCGCTGGAAAAGCCGATTGTGAGGCGCGTTGCCGGGCGGTTCTGCCATTCCAATACAGCGATGCGAAGAGCAGTGATCTCGTCGATTCCGGCTTGCTTGCTTAACCATAGCGCATCCGCCTTGATCTCCTTTAGGTCAAAAGAGCTTTGGCCATTGGTCTCGACATGGATTGCAGCGGTTTTGGATTCGAATTCGGTTTTGGATTTTGCGGAAGGGGAAGGGAACGGCTTTAGGCCGTCAGAGAGTAGGCGAATGGATTCGGAGTGCGAAAAGAAGGCATCGATATTGCCTCCATCGTCAACATAACTTTCAGGTGCGAAGGCGTACAGGAAAGCTCTTTTCCAGGACCTGCAACATATTAGAGTATTAGCTTCTATGACAATGAATAATTAGAATGGACATACAAGAGTTGAACGTCCCCGGAGAAGCACTGGTCCAGGGACGGGAAATAGGCCTCCGGGACGGGAGCCATTTTGGTCAATTAGATCATCATAGAATAGAAAGAAAGAGCGGAACAAGGCGACACCAAATAAGGTGGCAGGACAGTGAGGAAAAAGGGTAGATGGCGAGCGTGGGGAGCTCTTGAATTGAGAGGGAGCTTCAAAAGAATATTATTCACCGCGACTGGGTCAACAATCAGGTGCCTATCTGATCTTATTGCCGGGCGGTGAGTAACAACATGGAAACCCGCATTCTGTTTTGAGTCACTTTTCTCTGACAAAGCTAATTCGCTAACATTTGATTCTGTTGGAGCTGTGTGAGATTCCGAAGCCTGCAGCATAGCGATTATAACATTTTATCCACCCTTCCGATCTCGAACGACAATCCGCGGTCATGGCGGACCTTGTTGACCATTCCCCCCACCATGCCACCAAAGCGGACAAATTGGCCAGCGCATCCAATGTCATTTTGATCGACAACTACGACTCATTTACCTGGAATGTCTACCAATACCTCGTCCTTGAAGGCGCCACAGTGACAGTCTACCGCAATGACGAAGTAACTATTGAGGACTTGGCTGCAAAGAAGCCTACTCAACTGGTTATCAGTCCTGGCCCTGGCCACCCCGAAACCGATGCAGGAATCAGTAACGACGCAATCAATTATTTCAAAGGAAAGATTCCGATCTTTGGTGTGTGCATGGGTCAACAATGTATGATCACCACATTTGGTGGTAAGGTGGACGTGACCGGCGAAATTCTGCACGGAAAGACATCGGAGTTGAAGCATGATTCCAAGGGTGTCTATCAAGGATTGCCAGCCTCCCTCGAGGTCACTCGGTACCACTCGCTCGCTGGAACACATTCTACTATTCCAGATTGCTTGGAAGTGACCTCGCGGGTCGAGCTGCAGGACGGTAGTGGCAAGAGCGTCATTATGGGTGTGAGACACAAGGAGTTCGCAGTGGAGGGTGTTCAGTTCCACCCCGAGAGTATCCTGACGCAATACGGGCGCAAGATGTTCAGAAACTTCTTGGAGCTCACCGCTGGAACCTGGGATAACAAGCAGGGAGCAACCACAGCTGCACCCTCAGACAAGAAACTATCCATTTTGGACAAGATCTACGCCCACCGCAAAAATGCGGTTGAGGAGCAGAAGAAAATTCCGGCTCTGCGGCCAGAGGCTCTTCAAGCCGCATACGATTTAAACATTGCGCCTCCCCAACTGTCATTCCCTGAGCGCCTAAGACAGTCAGACTATCCTCTCTCACTTATGGCGGAGATAAAGCGTGCATCACCCTCGAAGGGCATTATTTCGGCCGATGTGTGTGCTCCTGCCCAAGCACGGGAGTACGCCAAGGCTGGCGCTAGCGTCATCTCTGTCCTCACAGAGCCGGAGTGGTTCAAGGGCACCATAGATGACTTGCGGGCTGTGCGCCAGAGTCTGGAGGGTCTCACCAACCGACCAGCTGTCCTCCGAAAGGAGTTCGTTTTTGACGAGTATCAGATCCTGGAGGCACGTTTGGCTGGAGCTGATACAGTTCTGCTGATTGTGAAGATGCTAGATATTGAGCTGTTGACTAGACTGTACCATTACTCGCGCAGTCTTGGCATGGAGCCTCTAGTCGAAGTCAATAACCCTGAAGAGATGAAGATTGCAGTTGACCTGGGCTCTCAAGTCATCGGTGTCAACAACCGAGACCTGACGAGCTTCGAGGTCGATCTCGGAACTACCAGTCGTCTAATGGATCAAGTCCCTGACAGCACAATTGTGTGTGCCCTTAGTGGGATCTCGGGACCCCAGGATGTGGAAGCTTATAAGAAAGATGGTGTAAAGGCCATTCTTGTTGGAGAGGCTCTTATGAGAGCGCCCGATACCTCTGCCTTTGTGGCACAGCTTCTCGGCGGTTCTAATTCAAATGCCAGTGCATCATCAAGTTCTCCTTTGGTGAAGATCTGTGGAACTCGGACCGAAGAAGGAGCTATGGCTGCTATCCAAGCTGGCGCAGATTTGATTGGCATTATCATGGTTCAGGGCCGCTCACGACTTGTCCCAGATGATATGGCCCTCCGCATTTCCCAGGTGGTCAAGTCGACCCCTCGTCCGGACGGTACATCGCAGCAGCCGACAGACGCAACATCATTGGAATGGTTCGATCACTCTACTAATCTCTTGCGCCATCCTTCTCGTGCTTTGCTCGTGGGCGTGTTCATGAACCAGCCGCTATCATATGTCCTTTCTCAACAACAAAAGTTGAGTCTTGATGTTGTGCAACTGCATGGATCTGAGCCTTTGGAGTGGTCTAGTTTGATTCCAGTTCCTGTCATTCGCAAGTTTGCCCCTGGTGACCTTGGCATTGCTCGCCGAGCTTACCACACTCTTCCATTGCTGGACTCTGGTGCTGGAGGCTCCGGTGAGCTTCTGGAGGAGACCGGTGTCAAAAATGTTCTCAGTAGTGACGAAGGATTGAGGGTAATACTGGCTGGAGGATTAAACCCTGACAACGTGATCGACACTGTGAAAAAGCTAGGCCAGCTTGGTCAGAAAGTGGTGGGGTTGGACGTCAGCTCAGGTGTAGAGACAAACGGGTCTCAAGATTTGGAGAAAATTCGAGCCTTTGTCAAGTCTGCTAAAAGCATTCGGCAATGAACAGGCTATGAACATGCATTTACACTCCTCAGGATGACTCCTTTTCTCATTCAATTTCGGGGTTTCATATTCAATAACTATGAGCAATACCTATTCATAGCAAGCAAGCACAACACTTCCGGGTTTTATTCTGCTTCTCCTTACTTCACTTGTTTGATAAAGACTTTACTTGATACCAACAGGAATGATTTTTGATCCTTCCTTGAAGTAGATCTCAATCTTAAATTGCTTCCAAAGTCCCAATTTCGGCTTTATCGTCACCTGCATCCTCCAGATATCATCATGATCAGTGCATTCCATATCATCGTTGCAAAAGCAGACCAAGGCGACAGCTTTTGGGAAGTATAACACAGTATCCCCTCGAAGCGTTGTCCGTTGACAATAAACTTATTTTATTTCTGAGATTCCTCGCCCTCTGACGGAAATCTCAGTCAACAGCAGAGATCAAACGAGCCTCAGCATCCCCAAACTAGTCATCTCATTCATATCTCAAAGACTTGCCTTTCGGCAATACTCTACACACTTCGTCGGTGAAATATTACTTCACCTAGCAAAGACCGAGTGAAAGTTCTGACTCACAAAACTAGTCCTTGCAGTATTCCTGTTCTTCCTCCTGACACCATAGCACATTTACCTCTAAAGCCATTCAACGTGAACCCAAAATGAGGAAGCCGTTCCAAAGGATTCATGCCTCTATAGTAGGCAAGTTCGAAGACGGCGTCGGCGAAAAGATTCCACAGTGGATTCGGGCAAATGGAGGGCAGTTCTCGAGAGACGTGAACCCGCGAGTTACCCATCTCATTGCCACAAAGGAGGCGTTCAAAAGCAATGCAGTTCCAGGTATGTTACCCTTGGATCTTTCAAAAACAACGAATTAATCAACGACATACAGTGCAAACTGCCAAGAAGAACAGCACTATCAAAATCGTCTCATACGATTGGCTTGAAGACTCGCTGCTGTCAGCAACCCGCCGGCCAAAGCCTGAAGGGCCATATCTTCTAAAGAATCTGATGAAACCCGAGAAGAAGGAAGTCAAGAAGAATGCCACGCCAAAGTCCTTAAAGACGGTCAAGGAGATCAAAGCGAACGTTCCAAAACGTCGGATAGGTATCGATTTCCGGAGTTATATTGCATTGCTACAATACACACGGTGCTGACATGTTCTCTACAGTTGACCCTTTCCTTGGCTCAAAGGGAAAAAGAAAGCGTAAGCATGATCTTCATATCCAAATAGCATATCCAGGCTAATATTTACCTATCACAGCCGTGCGTCAGGTGTACCAGGACAAAAAGACAAATGTGGTTTACAGCATCACCTTATTCCGCCCATCAAAACCACCAGGCAATAGCAGAGAAAAGTACCAACTAACTGTGAGTAATATCCGTATTGTGGACTTTTCTTTTTCAAGGTATTGACATTACCTAGCTTTTCGAATCCGTCGCCGAACCACACACCTACTCGACCTACACCAAATTCAGCCGCGTTGGCACATCTAATGTTGAACTGCTGGCGGGACCAAAGTGCAAGCTCGAGCTTGCGGTGGACAAATTCAAGCAGTTCTTCAAGGAACAGACTGGAAAGGAATGGAACGAAAGGGCAAATGGAAAGATGCCACCCTCAAAGACAGACCAGGAAGGAAACAGCTTACCTGCTCACGAAGGGTGGTTCTATCTCGAGGAAAAGACAACCATTCTTGGTGCATTCCTCAGAGAACCCCAGAACCCAAGTTCTCAAGGCTCGACTGGCAACATCGTATACGATCGTACCAAAGAGGATAATGTCGACCATATGGCAACCCATCAAGTCCAAGATGGGGACAAAGGCAGTTCTGAAGCTGACGGTAATATCAACGAAAGCAGCATCGAGGACAAAATGACAAATCATCAAGTCGAAGATGGGGGTGAAGATGGATATGAAGCTGGTGATGATGATGATGGCGAAATGGATGGCTAGATACTACCGATGAATGACGGGAATCCCTCCAGGTGGTTAACGCCTGTACTCATGAGTGGATTCCTAGGTGGACGTGGATGGGGGAGGACTAACGCTGATTTTATCTCGGATTGTAATTCGATGATTTTAGGACAGTCCATACCTGGATATGTATCCGCTTATTTTTCTCGTGCTTTTATAAATACTTTTTCAGTGGCATAGTTCAAGAGTGCAAGGAAGTAAATAGAGACCCCCATTGTACTATCCTATTATACCAGGCTTTCCATGTATCATGCTCTACATTAATTGGCCACAAATTTGTTACTATATGTATGTACCGTGTAAATATCTGGTACGAAGTACTATATTTCCGATCATTCCACCGACGGTTGGGACCCTGACATAGTATACCTTTTAGAGGCATGTCATACTACATGATACCTGAGTTATAGTAGGTAATATCGACTCTCTACTATCCTTCCAAGGTTGTTCTAGTAATTGAGCCTCTGGTGGGGCTGGGGATGATCGTGGCTTTTTAGGGCTAATCACATGCAGCGTGACCCCCACTTTTATAAACTATCGGTCCTACCTCCTCCGTAGGTAGGAGTTGAATCCCATATTGGCTATGCCGTATCTACGATGTAAATTTATTATCCAACCAACAGATAACAGTTTAGACAATACCTGTAGCCCAACATTGATCGAGTTTAGCACCCATCTCAACATGTAGTGACATATAAGAATGGATAATATAAACAGCCCCCAAGAGGCTGCCAAGAGCATAGACCTTTGGATGTTATACTGATGTTTTTATTTTTTGCTACGCCTCTACGGAGAAGATATGTTTGTCTCATCTGTCCATCAGGACTGGAGAAACTCCTTTGATTAACCTGGGTTTAAAAGTTGGATTGTATATTTTCATACACAGTAAATTGGTGAATTATAGATCGGCAACCAATTCACTGCCGGGAGATTGGGTCATGCTGGTCCCAAAAAACTGCTGTACATGTCTTAAATATTTTGTTTAGACATTCTCAAAATCATAAGCTTGAACATGACAAAAGAACCCATTCTAATTGCCCTCTAACGCCAGATACGCCAGTCGATTGAATGCGACGAGATGTTCTGTTTGAACCATCCGAGTCACAACCAATATAGTGATGCGAGTTCGTAAAGAATCACAGGTATTCCTTCTTTTTGCTGGTTCTTGTGTATTGGGTAAGAGCCCATTCGATGTCGCCACTCGAGCCCTTCTCCAATGTACCACCGCGGATCTCGAAAAGTCGCATTGTCATGCGAGGACCAACTTCAGCCAGCTCCACATCCCGGTACCCAGTCTTTACGAAAACATGGTGTCGCACTTCGATGTTGTCATCCTTGTTCACAAAGCTCACAACACGGTTGCCGACCTTTCCGGTTTCGCGAGGGGGGAAAAGGTGCTTCAGAATCTGAACAACGCGAGCACCCAGCTTCGTCTTAAACCCTTCAAAAATCAAGTGCGGGTAGCTTTCGGACACGGTACCACGAGCAGCATTGGGGATATCCTGACGAAGGACAACATTGTGGAGAGAGAAGCTGGCGGTCGGGCCATGGGGAAGATGTGAAATAGTGAGTGCGGTCGGGGTACCACGGTGCTCGTGAAGGAGGATCATGTCGGTCAGAGCCGCAGAGGTAGCGCTGGAGACGAGATCTCCAAGAACGAGAGTTCCACGGTTAAGGCGAATGGAGGTGGGAAGGAGAAGGCGGATTTCTTTTGCAAATGCGCCGAGGCGAGCGGAGGGCGAGCGAGAGGTGGTAACCAGAGGACGGGGGTCGATAATGCCGGAGGTTAAAACGTATTCATCATCAATGTCCATCTCAGCGTCTTCCTTGTCCTTTGATTCGTCATATTTGAAGTCTTCCCGAAGAGTTTTATCATTTGCGATTGTAGGATCTAAAGGCTTTCCAGAAGCCAATGAAGCCTTGAGTTGCGATCTTTTTTCGGCAATCGAGGCATCACGGAGTAGCAAAGCTCTGCGATAGAGATAATCGCGACGCTCGCGAGTTTGGCGGCGCTACTGACTGTAAGTAAAATATCAAAAATGTCAACTTTATCCTTTACTTACCAGCATTTTGAAGATTGAAGTAAAAGTGGCTTGAGCAAAAGAAGAGCGGGCAACTTTTTTTTTTCTCTGTTAACTCCGGGGCTGCATTTATGGTTTATCCGCGTAACCGTAGTGGGATCGCACCGATAAAGAATCTGGGCAGTTGCGGAGACGCTTTTTGCTCATCCTTTGAGACAAACTCATCGACTTTCTTTTGTCAGTCCTCTGAGACAGAGAGCTGGACTGGTTGTATGTGCTCATTTGTTCTTGTCAAGAATACACCACTAATCCTACCTCACGATATAGATCTCCGTTCGTTTGCCCCTCAGGCACACCCTGGAGATTTCAAACCTTGAATATCCCCATAGGACGACCGGATTGTCCTCTACGCTCTTTAATCGTTCACGACTGCGAAGCTCATTTCAGATTTCAACAAACTTTTGGTCCCCATTTTTCTTTGAATCTTCATCACCTTCAGTCATCCCTATCAACGTTCCAAAACGGTACCCATAATGAGCTACCAACCGGAAGACCGCTCGGTGGGAGCTGAAATCGATGAGATTGATTCAAACGCACTTGCTCGCGCGCGTCCACGTCGACATGACGATGAAGATGAGGGTTCTGATACCTTCGAAGATGACGATATGGAAAGCACAGTCGGTGCACCCACAAACGGGAATCAGAAGTCCCAAGGAAATGGGGAGGAGGAAATAGAGCTACCTGCTCATGCATGCGCGTTAGTTTTTATATCTTTCTTGTGTATGACCATTTACTGATTATATTATAGGTACTGCGGCATTCACAACCCGAGCAGCGTCGTCAAATGTCTTTCGTGCAACAAGTGGTTCTGCAGTGCGCGTGGAAATACCTCCTCTTCCCATATCGTCAATCATCTTGTCCGAGCTCGCCATAAGGAAGTCCAACTTCACCCTGCTTCTTCTTTGGGTGATACTATTTTGGAATGCTACAACTGTGGCACCAAAAATGTCTTTTTGCTTGGCTTCATCCCCGCTAAATCTGATACCGTTGTGGTTTTGCTTTGTCGGCAGCCATGTGCCTCCATGCCATCTTCCAAGGACATGAACTGGGACACTTCACGCTGGCAGCCTCTTATTGAGGATCGGTCCTTCCTCCCCTGGCTCGTCGGAGCACCTACTGACCAGGAACAACTCCGAGCCCGTCACCTCAGTCCTCAATTGATTGCGAAACTGGAGGAAATGTGGAAGGACAACTCTCAAGCGACTCTGGAAGATCTAGAGAAGGCTACAGCAGTGGACGATGAGCCTGCGCCAGTGCTACTTCGCTACGATGATGCTTTCCAATACCAGAATATTTTCGGGCCACTTGTTAAGATCGAAGCTGATTATGACCGCAAGTTGAAGGAGTCTCAATCTCAAGATGGACTGATCGTGCGTTGGGATCTTGGTCTCAACAACAAGCACCTTGCAAGCTTTGTACTGCCTAAGCTTGAGCTGGGAGATGTCAAATTGGCCGTGGGTGACGAGATGCGCATCAAATACAATGGTGAACTGCGTCCCAAGTGGGAGGGTGTGGGCTATGTCATCAAGATTCCGAACAATCAATCTGATGAGGTCACCATCGAACTACGCGCCAAGGGCGACCACAAGTCAGTTCCCACCGAATGCACGCACAATTTTATGGCCGACTATGTTTGGAAGTCCACTTCCTTCGACCGCATGCAATGTGCTATGAAGACATTTGCCGTGGATGAGCAGAGTGTCTCGGGCTACATTTTCCATCGCCTCCTTGGACATGAGGTTGCTGCAGCTCCTATGAAGACCCAAATTCCGAAGAAATTTAGTGTTCCAGGTCTGCCCGATCTGAATGGCAGTCAAATCAACGCGGTTAAAAGTGTCCTTCAGCGGCCTCTCAGTTTGATCCAAGGTCCCCCCGGAACTGGTAAGACCGTTACCTCAGCCACCATCATCTATCATCTTGCCAAGATCAATGGAGGCCAGGTTCTTGTCTGCGCTCCGTCCAACGTTGCCGTTGATCAGCTTTGCGAGCGGATCCATCGGACTGGTCTCAAGACCGTGCGAGTTACTGCTAAATCTCGCGAGGATGTGGAATCTGCCGTTGGATTCCTTTCACTGCACGAGCAGGTTCGAATGAACGATAGCAACATTGAGTTAGTGAAACTCAACCAGCTTAAGGCCGAACTTGGAGAATTGTCTAGCCAAGACGAAAAGCGCCTCAAGCAACTTACTCGCTCTGCTGAGCGTGAAATTTTGACTAACGCGGATGTCATCTGTTGTACTTGTGTCGGTGCAGGTGATCCTCGTCTTTCAAAGGGCAAGTTCCGCACTGTCCTGATTGACGAATCAACCCAATCTGCCGAGCCCGAGTGTATGATCCCCCTTGTTCTGGGTTGCAAACAAGTTGTGCTAGTTGGTGATCACCAGCAACTTGGCCCCGTGATTATGAACAAGAAGGCCGCTAAGGCTGGTCTGAACCAGTCTTTGTTCGAGCGTCTTGTCATCTTGGGCTGCTCTCCTATTCGCTTGAATGTCCAGTATCGTATGCACCCGTGCCTTTCGGAATTCCCATCCAATATGTTCTACGAAGGCTCGCTGCAGAACGGTATTACTATTGCTGATCGTGTCCGCCGTGACGTTGACTTCCCTTGGCCTATCATTGATGATCCCATGATGTTCTGGTCAAACCTAGGCAATGAGGAAATCTCCGCGTCGGGTACCTCGTATCTTAATCGTACCGAAGCTACCAACGTCGAGAAGATCGTCACACGCTTCTTCAAGGCAGGTGTTCAGCCTAGGGATATCGGTATCATCACTCCATACGAAGGGCAGCGCAGCTATATCGTCAGCTCTATGCAGGCAAACGGCACCTTCAAGAAGGAACATTACAAGGAGATTGAGGTTGCCTCCGTCGATGCTTTCCAAGGCAGAGAGAAGGACT